AGTGAGTATGCATACTAGTAGTGAAACTAGAGTGGAGAAGTTACTTAAATCTCTAATGTTTTGTATTTCCCTATAAAGCTTATCGGTGATGACTCTTAGAAAGTGTCATAACTAAATGTATCGCGCATAACCAAACATCATATTATATTATAAAGCACGGCGATTTCGGGTTACAAACTCGCCCATTATAGTGTTATTTATTTAGTAAATTGAGCAACGCTATAAAATACGTGAAATAGATTCATGTCAACGTAAAGAACTAAATGAATAAGTTATATGTTGTTAAGGTATATAAGTTCTTTTAAACGAATGAGATATGATGTTCTATAACTTTCTACATAAAAGTTCATCTAAATGCTTCGCTGACTAAAAAGCTTGCCATAATTAACCCAAACTTTTGCGTACATTTTTTGTTTTAAACCCACCTATGTATCCAAATAAGTGTTTGTCCTAAAATAATGTGCATTTCTTTGAAAGTTAAGAGGACAAAACTAAATTTTCAGCCATATATATATATATATATATATATATATATATATATATATATATATATATATCAACTCTGACAACTGACTTGTCATACAGAGATGTTACAGTGACATGTGACTATGACATTTTAGGGTTACGTTGTTTTCCGGATAATCGATAAATTACCGTTTGTAAAACAATACTGCCCTGGAAGATATCATTAAATACCAGAATAATTATGTTTAAACAGAGCTGAAAAACATATTATTAGTATTTAGACTAAGAGATATTAAGGCGACGACGCGCTAATAAATCTACCTTCCAGCCAAACACCAATCATAAAAATACGTCGTTAAACACAACGATACTTTAACATGCTATTTCCTACTAAATAACGGAAATGAGATTGGAAAAAGTCGACTACTGATGTTAGCAACATATTTTATGTATATATATTTGTTTAAAATCTTCGGAAAATTTATTTAATGGAATGCGCTAATGTAATACGTTATTTTTGAATTGTTGTTTCAAACATAAAAATATTGAATGATTCTAGAAGAATAAAGGTTACTTCAGCTGTAAATTATTTTGAATAGTTGTTACTAAAACTCTTAATAAACAGAATAAGGATTTATGAAGCTGAATTGTTGATAATGACAAATAAATTACAAACACAGGTGGCTTCATACATATTTTTTTCACTGGTTCAGAAGCGCTTATTGTGAAATCAGAAATTTATGGAAGGCTACTTATAGGCACTGATTACTAGTGGTCTTATTTTCTAGTCAGATTTCATTTTTAAACTTTTAATTGATTGAATTATGTTTCCATTAATCTTATATTTGAAACAGATAGCTGAATCCGCCTGTATCTCTTCTACTCAACGTATTTATACAAGCAGCATAAATGGGCTTAGAAATTTCACAAATCGATGCAAACAATGCCCAGATTTTAACGTGAACAACATTTTGTAAAGAAAGCATCTTTTATGTTCTTGAAATTATTATCAATTATTATTATTTTGCCGTTTTACAATTTAGTGTTCAACCAGAAACTGTACGTAACTTACTTAAGTAATTAATTTTTATTAAGCTATGTTGACTTTATTTTTTGATGTATGCAACGTTTTCGTATAATGATGAGTAAAAGGATTCAATTCGTTAGACTCAGTAAAACAATTGACCAATTATTTTCTACTGCAAACTCTTTCTAACCCAAAGATGTCTTTAGAATTTGTGTAAAAAACAGCTAAATCAATTGAAGCAAAATTTAACTTTGGACTGATTATCATTATAGATTGATATTCAAATGTTTCATTATTTATAATGTACCTCCAATGAAAATTTTACGGTGCTGGTCGAATAACGTAAACAATGTAACGAGCAGAACATCTGGTTTAATAAACCGTTACCCGAAATGAATTAAAAGCAGTTTACAATAATTATAAAAACAAATCACCAATCCACCTCGCTTACAAATCAGTAAATCCCAGAACTGTTATATTGTATTCACAATACACTTGTGCAATTCAGAAATCAGGACCCAATTATTTGGAAGATATATGTCCAAAACTGTTTTAAAATAATCTAAGTGAATGAGGAGTCTTGGTCTAGTTCATCAGGCTAAACACGTTAGGATTATTTAAGCTTCAATTGCTCAAATTATTTCAAATAACATGTGTTAATTTTGTCTAAAAATTCCTTTTATTAAGAAAAATCCAACAATGGACTGCCAAAATTAGAGCATATTTAATTATACAGTTCAAGGTGCTCGATTATTCTTATTCACTGATTGAAGTATGCTTGATAAAAAGTAGTCTATAATATTCTTTTTAGACAGACAGATTTATGAAGAGAAATGAACTTGCAGGACAAAACCACCAAATTATCCTGCTACATTTCTAAAAAATTGATATAATATACCATTTGAAAATTTTACATTAGTAACCAAGCCTTTAAGTGACAAATTTTAGGGTTGCATTAGTGACATTAAAAGGGACCAAATCCTAACCAATTTTTATTGCTTTATCATCAAGAAAATTAGCGAGAACTAACAAAATGTTAGCTACATAAATAATATTAACAGACATTATTGCTTAAGCAGCAATATTTATTTCCGAACTTAATATCAGCTGGTCAATGTTATGTTTACCTAGTTGACGTTTATTATTGGATATAATAATAACTGTTCATTTTTCCCAATAACGTATAAAATTGATTTAGACAGTGAAGGTTTTCCTTTTCTGTTTATTTATTGAGTAAATGAAAGAAAAGTAATTGTTTCTCGTAGTTATTTTTGAGTAATAAATACCAACTAAATGTATATTGATCAGTTGAATGAAGACACGGGTAGATGGTGTGAATGAAGTTAATACTTATAACTAAGTTTAGGTCTGCTGACTCAGACTATCATTTAAAGCAGTTAGCTACGGAGCAGGTGGTTTAAACTTATTATTGATGCTCTGTCATTACTTTGTGTTTCACCTATTAAACTGTAAATATGTTTACTCAGACAAACCAGTCATTAATCAACCTGTGCATGTGTATTGCCAGAAATAGCGTATAACACTTATTACAAAGTTTAAAAAAATTATCGACCATTGTTTTGTTTCCATAAACTAACACAAAAGAATAAAGAAATAGAATCCAAAACAAACTCTAGATTATCAAGTAATCAAGAGTGGATATCATAACACGAAAAAACTTAAATGGATTTTCTTTAAATAAACGAAACTTTATACAAAGATATTCTCTTGCTTTATTTCACTGTTTAAAGAATAGCTAAATTCAATTATTCAAACGTCAAACGCTGGCGTAATCTTGAAATATACTTATTACGACAAACTTTTAGCTCAACTAATCACAAGTTAATTCGAATACCGCAAACTACACATTTTCATTTCTTTTTAGAATAAGCTAAGTCACGCTTAATAATAAAAAATGATCATTCTGAATCAGGGATGGTGGTAAAACATGTACGGCCACTTAAAGTTTTAGCTGTGTGATAGGACATCTACTTAAACCGTGAACCAAAATTCATTTGTCAAAGATTCCAAATCAATTATTAAGCAAATCTAGGCACATTTAGTCATCGTAATATTATCAATGTCTTTTGGGTTGTCAAAGGTATATATAGTGTTCTGTACAACAAAATATGAAATGAATATGCACACAAACCATAAATGATCAAAGGAGAAAGTAATACAAAGCAAGCAACATCATTCAAAATATACTTTACTGCATCACATTTAGTGCACTACGCATTAGCAGACTATACATTCTTTCATAAAAGATTAAAATAGTGAGTGATCTAAAACGTATTTATACTTTTGCAACAAGACATTTTGAACTTGGAAGGAATTCATACATTTGAAGGGTTCGCTATTATAAAGATCAGTGGTCAGAAGTTCTGTGGATTAGGTCAACTAACTGTTCGTTACAATTTATTAGTTCTTACTAACCGAAGTAACACATAATTCAATAGTGTAATCTGTTTTATTGCTAATTCCGTCTTATAAATTCCCTTCGTTAGTATGATAATTCCCATATACCCACATAAATATTACTGAACATTAAACCGAATAAAGATCTGTTTGAAAACGATATTGTTTGCTTATATATGTAGTTTTAATTCATAATATAGAAATTCATAATATATCACTGCATTTTCAATAAGCTACCTATTCAATTCCTTTTCTATAAGGTACGCCTATTGAACTGAAAATTTAAAATAATGTATTTAATTGGTAAAATGTGATACAAGGCAAGAATTCATTTCTATTTCCTTTCGTATCTGTGTAAACTTCCAACAATTACACAAACAAGATTAAATAAATTATATTCGAATTCTTTTCAGACTATGAACGTATTTGATCATTGGAATTTCAATGAAATAAATAAACCGATTTAAAGAATATTACTTTTACGAGCAATTTATTACATAACTTTGCTTAATAAACAGAGAGAATATAGTCTTTATAATATACGAGTAATTCCTTGTCTAAGACTTATCTTTTCTTCTCTTCAATCATTTATCTATATATTCTCCTTTTCGCTTCTCATATTTAACTCCTATGTTCCTAAGAATGGTCCTGCTTCACTCTATTTTATTTTTATTATCAGCAAAATTTCTCCTACCCGTACTTATTGATTATTACTCATACATCTCCATTTCAACTTGGCAATACTCTTATCGACCATAGATTTCTGATTTTTTATAAATTACCTTATCCAATAATTATTTGTTTATTCCAAAAAATTAGTCGATTTTGACATAACTAGTCATTTTCAGTAACACATACAACTACTCGACCTTTACTTTATCATACATATGCAAAATGTTGAAAATAAACTCATCAAAAACGGATTTATCCGCTGAATGAGTTATTTTCTAAAGTTATTTTTACAATTTTAGCAATATATCATATACTATCATAGAATTTAAACTTGCTCACTTTATTCAATGTATATTGGCTTATTTTAAATTACACCAAATATAAATATATAAGAAATGATATAAAATGAGGAACTCACATTAGGTAAGACTTGCCAATGTTTATCAGGTGGTGCTGCTTTCGCTTCAAGTTCAATAGGCAAACCATTTATGGCTGGTTTCTTTTTTGGTCCTTCAGATGCTACAGAAACATCTGCTGATTCTCTGGTTGAACTTCGACCTGAATCGTGCTGATCATCTGGATATCTTTTCAAATGTTTTCCCTCAGATACAATATGTGGGTTTTCATCTGTTGGAGTTTTATTTGTCTCGTCTCTTGGATAGTTATAGGCATCTCTTGTTAATTTCTCTAAGTATAACTCTTGCTTACAAAACTGAGGTCTATAGGTTTCATCAGCCGTTGGTGTTAGGGATCCTTCTGATGGACTAACATCAGTTTCATTTTGTCTCTGTTGAATATTAGTCTGTGACTCATTTGATAATGTTTGTAACTCTACATCAGGTGACATTAAACCTGAAGAATAAGCGGTAGTTGAATCATCTTTTCGACGTTTTCTTGAGGGAGAAAATAATGAACCCAAAGATAATGTACGCAGAAATGTGAAAGGTTTGCTTTTTGATTTTGTCTCATTTCCAGAAGATAATGTGGAGCCAGCTGTTAATGTAGCGGATTTCTTTTCCATTGTCCATCTTGTTAACCTATTGGAAGATGAAGATGACGGCTTTTCTGAAATATCTTCTTCACTATCCGACCGATGAAACATACGTGGTAATGTGGAACAGCCTCTTTCACTTGAACTACCGGTCACCGGTGTCCTACTCTTACTTGATTTTCGCTTCACACAACGCAGCATTGTAAAGGAAAGTTTAAAAACCCGATGTACAGAGAAATTTGGAAATGATTAAGGAATGAATGTAGCGGGATTTGATATGACTTGGCTAAATTATTAGTACACTATCGTCATTATTGTTTGTTTCTTCACAATATATCATAACTAACATGAAGTAGCATAGAAAAGCAAGCATACAAACTTGTTTCTGTAAATTTCACTAAAATGTTCTAGCGATAAAGCATTTAAATTGATTGAGTTGAAAATTTGAAAAGATAGTTTATCATGACGAAAACAAGAAGGCACTCTACATGAAAGTATGAAATTTTGATGACTAAGTAATAGAACAACAAGCAAAGTGAAAACAAAATAATAACAAAACTATGAAGTAATATTAATCGATATTGTCTTCACAATTTTTCGACTCAACTATATAAAATAATATTATGTATGAGGCACTAATAATGATTCTCACTTGAGTAAAACGTATTTGTGCAGTGGTGTTGACTGTTTGAACAGACTGCACCGGGTTCAGTAAAAGATAAAGGGGACGAACTCTCAATTCCTCCAGATTAATATGCTTGGTCTGAAACGATCACTTTGTAAAATGAATTTGAAGCTTCAGATTTGTAATGCAAGTATTCTTCGGAAATTGATTCTCATTTTCTGATCAATTCCCTAACTGACCAATTAAAATTAAGTAATTATCCATTTTTAGAACTGAAAATTTAGTTGGTTGAAATTTTCGGGCTATGCGCTAACTGTTATGGTCAATATCTGTCTGTCCACTTTGTTTCTCTGCGGATTACGTCGAACTAGGTGGCATATGGTTGATATATGTCTAGATTCAAATAAACAATCATGGTAGTCTTATTATCATTATTTTCATCACGAATCAATATGTGTCAAATTACTAGGATGCTGTTTAATTATTTTCTCAGACTTTAAACTATATGATCCCATAATATGTTTTAACATCAAGGTACAAACATTTTGCAGCAATAGGAATTGTTCTAAGGAAGGTGACTTGACATTATCAAGCTCAAGTATTTGATAACTGAGGAGGAAAGTAATGAACTATGTTGTTAATATCAGAAAGAAAGTACAATTTATGTTATAATCACAGTATAATTGACAAATTTCGTGTCTTCGAATGTTTTTTAGTGAATGTTTCCGTCATTTAGATTTACATTTGCACATAATCTGTAATGAAGTAAACTGAAAAGAACTACTGGAGAAGAAATGATAATTCTGGCTAATCAATTATATGAATGCAAAACATGTATGTGATATGAAGTTGAGACTATAATTTATGGACGACCTTTGAGCGACGCCAGAGTGACTTTGAAAGTGTCCATCTAACAATTACGACGAAATTAGAGGTATAAACCAGTGTGTGGAATTAGTATTATGATTTACAGTTGATGGTTAAGGTAAGAATTCGATTTGGGGTTTTCATCACGAACTGACATCAACTATAATGCCAAAACTCTATTTATCCAAATGGATGAGTGAATTTCTCGCCAAAATTCGAGACGTGTCATCCTATATTTTATTGGTTCGTTCATAAATTATAGTCTCGCTGATGTGAAAAACAGCCATGGTTCATGAACTCAGTGGTTAAACTTGTGAACCAAACAATACGTCGGTCAATCAGTTTGAATAGCTCAGTAGGAACGTCTCAGACTACGAAGTTGAGTCACGCTGGTTTGAATACCACATGGAACATCACTTCGCTCAAAATTACATGTACATCTAGATGACGGCTACCAACTAGCATGACATGTAGGTCCAGAGTTTTCTGCTAACAAAACCCAACTTATAATGAAGATGATCCTTAGAATATTGTTGTGAGTAAGCCGCTTGTTAACACGAAAAACTGGACAAAACAGATTATGTCTCCAAGATGAAATCCATCTTCAGTGACCACATAAGGTTCAAGTTAGACAAAAGTAACAAAGACTTAACTGATTCCACTGAGAAAAGAATCACCAAAGTACTCAGAAATCTGAAAAAGAAGATGATCAATAATCCTACTTACAATAATCTACAACCTCATGGGTCTCGTTTACCCCACATGTATGGATTGGCAAAAATACATAAACAAGGTTATCCTCTTAGACCTATTTTTTCAATAGTCAATTCGCCATACCATAAAGTTGCACGATGGTTGGCAGATAAGTTAGAACCAGTGTATCAACGATTAGCCGCTTATACACTAAAGGATTCGTTTGTATTTGCTGACAGCATAAATCACATAAATATTGCTGGGAAGTTTATGGTTTCTTTTGATGTGACATCGTTGTTTACAAAAATACCACTTCTTGAAACCATAGACATAATTTGTCAGCATTCTGATATCCTACCTCTACCAGCACCAGAATTCAAACGACTATTACTCATTTGTACAAAAGATGTTCAGTTCCAGTTCAAACTATATCAAATACAGACAAACCGACGGTGTAGCAATGGGAAGTCCGTTAGGTCCTGTCCTAACAGATATCTTCATGGATAACCTCGAAAGAACCAAGCTCAAAGGGGTGATTGATGAAATAATGTATTATTCGAGGTATGTTGATGATAAATTCATCGTATGTAATAATCAACAACATGTAACAAATCTGCTAAAGATTTTCAACGAAGCCCATCCAAATATCCATTTCACTATGGAACATGAAAAAGAAAACAAGTTCCATTTTCTCGATATCGCGATAAAACGAAGAAAGGATGGTACAGTTCAACGTTTAGTTTATAAAAAAGACACATGGATTGAAAATTATCTAAATTTCAATAGCTTTTGTTTAATCAGTTACAATAGGTCACTGGTCAAAACACTGTTTCACAGAACAGAAAGAATATGTACTGCCGATACACTAGAAGAGGAAGTTATGAATGGTAAAAAAATGTTTAAAGAATAACGGATACCCACTGAAATTTATTGAGAAATATGGCAAACGTGAAGATAAAAAACCCAAAGAAATTACAGCAAATAAAAAGCTTATTTTTATTCAACTTAAATTCAAAGGTGATAATGTCACAGGATCAATCAATAAGAAACTAAAAACTGCACTGACAAGAAATTATCCTGCAGCAAAATTGATTGTCCTGTCCAAAACAACATGTTCTTTGACACAATCAAAGGTCGACAAGTATCCCTTTCATGTTACCACCAACTGTGTATACAAATTCATATGTGTATGCCAAGGCAGTTACATTGGTAGAACAGAAAGGAGAGCCTACGTCTGCTTCAAAGAACATATTCCGAAAAGTTTAAGGTTAAATGGATTGAACACATTCAACAGTGCTATCTCAAGACATCTCCTTGATACAGGACATAAAGCTGATATACTGAAGTCCTTCATGATGATTAATAGACAATCAAGCTCTAACCTTCTTAAATTTGCTGAAGCATTAGCGATCAAACGTCTAAAACTAGACCTATGTATACAAAAAGAGACAGTAATAAAACTTTCTTTACCCTGGTAACAATAAACCCCCTTTTTTCATTTATTTCTCTATTCATTTATTGCGTCATTACTCCAACTCTTTTAAATTACATCATACATAACTGATTGATTTCAATTCATATTTTCTTCATTACCATTAATCTATTTTCATGAGTTCTAATCACTATTTCAATGTTCCGGAACTTTCCCTCTCAAACTCTATTTATTCGAGACAAAATTTTATGACCTCATTAACTCTATCGGAATCTTCGCTACACCATGATACATTTATTCGTCCTTATTCACCCTTTTATGTATAAGTATGTCAATATCTGTAATAATTTTGAATTTCAAATAATTTAGGTTGTAAGCAGCTGATGAGAACCTGACGAAATAAAATGAATTCATATTATTCTGCACCAATCTTTGTTCTTACTCTCGTTAAGATAATAAAGGGAACTATGTGTATGAAAAAAACTGGAACACATGAATAGGTATGTCAGAACCAAAAAAACTCTGTGTTTGTAAGATTTATTTAAAGAGCTTTTTTATGACTATCTTGACGCTATTGCATCATAACACAGGGACAGAATTATTGTTTCCCCACACATTTTTCCATAATTTATTGAAACAAGTAAATATCTCTGATATTTCCTTCCACGAGTACTTATAAGTTTTACTTGATGTACCCTGTGAAGTATATCAAATTCATTTTGCTGATCAGAAGGGATTTCAGCGAATAAACCGAACCATTCAATATTATTAAGGTCAGGTGCATTAGAGATGAGGCAGCTTATTTTTTAGCATCAGCAGCTGTCGTCAGAAACTAGGCTGTTGGTATCTTTATGTTTATTTATTTAAATAATTATAAAAGTCGACTTTATTAATGCATGCTTAGTGGATAATAGCAATAATATAAGCCTTTTGCAGTTTGCTTAGGTCAATATATATATTCACCAGGATAGAATTTAGCAGTCTTCAGGACTTACTTTATCTTCATTGTCTTTTGATTAGTCATTCTGAGAGATGCTCCGAAATGCTTTTTAGAAGAGGCCTCGAATTAAAAACAAATGCACCTAGATCCACGGGGTCCGCTGATATACACACTCATTTCGTCAGTTGTAATAACTAATTCATCATAAGGAACTATATAAAACGATGACTGGTATTAGATTTTACAACGACCGAGTACGAAACCTTAATGATGCGAAAAAGAAATAGGACCGAAATTATTGAAGGACGAATTATGCATACCTTACAATAAATAAAACATGATGGTGTAATCTCAGATCCTAAAATACCCTGACTATATGAACAAAATAAAATGCATAGGTTGGGAATACCTATTCATTTTAACTAGATATGATTGATTCACAATAATACTTATTTACACAGTGGATAACTCAATTGTTGAATTAATTCTAAAATAGATGTTCTCTGCACGACAGATTTTCATTATATGTAAGTCAATAAGACGATATCATTGGATATCAGTTTGCTACTTGTAATCACGCGATCAACAAAAGCTCTGTGCCTATTTGTCATTATTTTTATGAAAACGGAATATATCTTCGAATT